ACACACACACACACATCAGACACTATTCTTCGCCTCATTATGACTATCATCATCGTCGTACCGGTTTTAGGAAGTCGGATAGGGCGTCAACCGAACGCCGTCAAATTCCATTGTGCCATCGAGATTCGCCAACTGAAGGACAGTGGACAACCTCTGGCGAGTGATTTCGGTCCACTGCCACGCAAGCACAGTTCGGTTCCAACATTGGCTTCCTCCTCGGCTTCACCCTCGTCCTCGTCGCAGACAAATGCACTTGTTGGAAGTGGTGTGGTGGACCCTCCACAACGAAGGGCTTCAGCAGGCGCTTGTGACATGGCTGGGTATGCTGGATCAATGCTTCCACGACGCAAAGCCTCAGCTCCTGTGAAAATGGAGACCACGTCTGTGCTACAGATGTCAAGTACTCCAGCTACCGTCTCCGCCTCATCGTCTTCATCAGCCGCAGCAGCAGCGGCGGCAGCGGCAGCAGCAGCAGCAGCCGTGGCAGGAGTGGTGGGAACAGATGAGGAGATTTTGGTGGATGGATTGAATTGGTTCAATTATGGAATGCGAATGGCCATGGAATTCATGCGACTTCCAGCCACGGTACCTTCGTCCTCATCTTCCACCTCAACCTCCTCAACCATTTCTGCATGCCCTTTTTATCAGCAGGTATCGGGAATACTTCTTTTGAACTCTCAGCCCATGGCGAGTAGCGCCGTCTGTGATTGGAGTCGTTTCCACTGACCATCGACATTGCACCTTATTTATTACCACCTTTGAAGGTTCAATCTAGGGTAGACACAACTTCTTCATATCATAAGTTCAAGAGAAATGTTCCCGATACCCTAAATTACTGCCGGATTTGAAGCCCTCCTCTAGGTTGATTAAACATGTGGACGAATTAATGAACGTCATGAAAGTGAATTCAGTAAATATCACTGTGTTTCACCTCCTGACACACATTCCCTTCCTCATCACTTTGATCTGTTGGTAGAACGTAGGACATGCGTTTTTTTTGTTGTTGCTTTTTTTGACATTAGGATAAAGTGTGTTGATTGACACCTTCGTGCCTTGCATTACCACGCAAGCATTGTCTCACTCTTGCATCACAAGTAATTTGAACTTTCCCTTCCT